GTTTCACCATGTTGACCAGGATGGTCTCGATCTCTTGACCTCGTGATCCACCCGCCTCGGCCTCCCAAAGTGCTGGGATTACAGGCTTGAGCCACCGCGCCCGGCCTGACAGAGTCTTATTTTCAAGGAATAGCAATCAGTTTCTTTTTTCTGTTCATTCAGATAGAAACTAATGTTCCTGATGATTTTGAAAGAACATCAGTTCTTTTCTGTGTGGGCTACTTTATGTAAATGAGTGTATTTAAAAAGTTTAGGCTGAGTGTGGTGGCTCATGCCTGCAATTCCAACACTTTGGGAGTCACTTGAACTCAGGAGCTTGAGACCAGCCTGGGTAACATGGTGAAACCCTGTCTCCACCAAAAATACAAAAATAGTCAGACTTGGTGTCATGCACCTGTAGGCCCAGCCACTCGGAAGGCTGAGGTGGATCACCCAAGACAAGAAGGGCAGATGTTGCAGTGACCCAAGGTCACACCACTGCATTCCAGGCTGGGCAACAAAGCAAGGCCCCATTTCGAAAAATAAAATAAGATTTAAATTTTTAAAAAGTTTAAATGACAAGATAAAACAGATAGCTGTCTTGTACCCAAAAGACATTACAGTGTGAGATGGGGCATTCATTTTTTTGAGACAGTTTCTCTCTCTGTCTCCCATGCTGAAGTACAATGGCATGATCGTAGCTCACTAGCATCTCAACATCCTTGATCAAGCAATCCTCCCACTTCAGCCTCTTGAGCAAAAAGGGCTACAGGCACTCACCAACACACCACTATGCCCCACTAATTTTTTTAAACAAATTTTTATAGGTGAAGTCTTGCTATATTACCCAGGCTGTCCCACCTTAGTTTTCCAAAGTGCTGGAATTACAGGCATGAGCCACCGTGCCCAGCCAACAACATTTTCTTTATGTTAAGTGGACTCTAGTTTTGCAAGATTTTAGTAAGAATTCCATGAAGAAAGAGAACTGTAGTCAAATAACTTTGGGAAATATTGGGTTAAACACCTGAGGTCAGGAGTTCCCTGACCCACATGGTGAAACTCTCTCTCTACTTAAAATGCAAAAATTAGCGGCATGTTGGCATGCCCCTGTAATTCCAGCTGCTCAGGAGTCTAAGGTGGGAGAATTGCTTGAACCTGAGAGGTGGAGGCTGCAGTGAGCCAAGACTGTGCCATTGCAACAGAGTGAGATCCCATCTCAAAAAATAAATATAAATAAAATAAATAAATTAAAAATAAAAGGTACTAACATGATACACATTACAGTACACACCATGATAATTGCTGTTTACCTAAATGTGTTTCTCAGAACATTAATTTTATATAACATCTACTGTAAAATGTTGCAAAGCTAAATGTACTTGAGGAATGTTGCACCCTTATCCTTCTTTCAGAAATGCATAATAATATTAGAACATTAAAGGCTCCAACAAGTTTTGGAAGAGGCAAACATTTTGATATGAATGGAAAGGAAGGCGCTTATGGGACAGGGATGAAAGGTAAACCCAGAGAGGCAGGCCATGCCAAGTCTTGAAGGGGTTTGTATACTTTGCTCAGAAATCTGACCCTAACCGTGAAGCTGTGGGAAGTGGCTGAATGATTTAAATCAGCAGAAAGATAAAAGCAGATCCGAGCTTAGTAAAGACCACATTGGATGCAATGTGAAAAGGAGCTAGGAAGACCTCTAGGCAGGAGGCTGAGAGACCAGCTGGACAGGTTGGTTCTAAACCTGAGTGATTGTGTAAGTGGTTACAATAATTACTGATACAGGAACATAGGAGCAGAAGCAGGTTGAATAAGATAGATAAAATAAGGATATTTCAACTGAATTATTTTCCCATAAATTTTCATCCTCTTTCCTTTAATATGTTAAGAAATTTTAAAAAGGTTATATATATATATATATATATATTTAATAAAGAATATATATAATTGTGGTGTGTTAATTTTCTGGCCCTGAAACTAACATAGACTCCCAGGAAACAGTGTTTATTTAAATGCACAGAAGTGGCAGAGATGAACCAGTCTAGCCCTTAGCAACAAGAGTGGTAATAGTCACCCATTCTCACCTCTTGCTTGCTAATCCCACCTGCCATGATTTTCAAAAATAAGAAGCCACTTCTTCACATTCACCCAGTGACAATGTTTTCAGAAAAAGAGACCTAAGTCTTTAATAGGAATGAATGAACTCACCAGGAATATGGCTTTTACTTCGATATACTTACCTTTTGCCAAGTAGTGTCTGTTATGCCAAGATCTACACTAGCAGGTAGCATGCAGGAGGAAAAGCAGCTTCTCTGCAGATTCGGAATGGATTTCTTTCCTACCTCATTGAAGGTAAGGGACATTATGGATTTTATTAGCGTAGTTCAATTAGCAGAGCAAACAGATTTCTAGACTGGAGAAAAGGCTAAGCGACTTTTGTCCTTGATCTAGAGAAATTACCTAGGCAACCAGCACTTCACTTTCTGTTATAAATAAGGCTGGCGGTGAGTGATGTGTTATTTAAATGAGTGAGTCCCAAACGTAGGTGAGTCTGATGTGGTTAGAGAACCACTGGTACAAACATAGCTCATAGGAAGCTTTTTAAATGCGTTTAACTCATTTGGCCAAAAAAGGGGGGATAAACACAGCCCAGGAAATATGTGTGGAATCAAACAAAATGTACACTATCTTAGTGAACAATTTACTGTATAGCAATTTGAAGAAAATATAATAGTGTTGTAATAAACAGTTCTTGATGACAAAAATGTTTGGTTAAGATATTACTCAAATGGGTAATAGCACTAAACAACTGTAGCACTTTTTATTTATTTATTTATTTTTTTTACTTTTATATAGCAAGCAGTGTTCTTTGGCTGCAGCATGAGAAACAGACTGTAAGCAGAAAATAAAAATTGTGGAAGGTCATAGGGTGCTTTATAGGAGTAAAGTGTAAGGCAATGAGGAAGCTGAGTAGGGACATGGGACATTTAGCGCTAGAGATCTGAATAGTGGGAACAAACAACTTTCTCGTAGGAGGACAGTGAGAAAAATGAACTTCTTTTCAAGTCAGGTGACAGCTTTTATAAATGATATTCAAAGAGGAAAGAGCCTCCATGACGAAGAATGTTATTTAAGAAAGGGAAAACATGTACTTTAAAACTCCTGAAGCAAAGTTGATCAACATTCATGTACTTTAGAACTGATTCCTTAATAAATTATATGTATTTAAAATTGGACACAGCCCAATGAGTATTATATATAAAGAATATACCAGCTGGCGATGGTACCTCACTCTCGTGATCTCAACACTTTGGAAAGTGAAGGAGGAGGATCACTTTAAGCCAGGTCATTGAAACAAGCCTCGGCAATGTAGTGAGACCCATCTCCACAAAAATAAAAATAAAAATTAGCTGGTCAACGTGGCACATGACTGTGGCCCTAGTTATTCGAGAGGCTGAAATGGAAGAATTGTCTGATCCCAGGATTTTGAAGCTGCAGTTAGCTATGATCCTGTCACTGCACTCCAGCCTAGGCAACAGGGCAAGACCCTATCTCTTAATTTTTTTTTTGAGACGGAGTTTTGCTTTTGTTACCCAGGCTGGAGCACAAAATGACGCAGTCTCAGCTCACTGCAGTCTCTGCCGCCTGGGTTCAAGCAATTCTTTTGCCTCAGCCTCCCAAGTAGCTGGGATTACAGGCATGTACCACTACACTCGGCTAATTTGTGTATTTTTAATAGAGACAGGGTTTTGCCATGTTGGCCAGGCTGGTCTCGAACTCCTGGCCTCAGGTGATCTACCTGCCTCTGCCTCCCAAAGTGCTAGGATTACAGTCATGAGCCACTGTGCCTGGCCTGATTTAAAATCTATGTGTTCCTTAAAAGAAGACAGTATAAGAAGTAATAATAATGCTTTAAAAAAACTGGCTATTCTACCTTCACATTCATCAAAGTAATGCAAAAATGCAGGTAGAGCGTAATGATAAACTTACTAAGGCCGGCAAGCTGCAAGAGGTGATTGGAGGAAAAGCAGAAGAAGGAAACCTAGTTCATAAGTGGAAAAATAAAACTTGGTTTGGTCAGAATTTAAAATGAACTCAAAATTAGTTCTTTTTGATGTGTATGAAATCTTATTAAAATGAATACCCTTTACGGGATCATGACAATATTCAACCCTCGTCAGTGGATAATTTTACTTAACTGCTATTTAGTTCAACAGAAATTTCAGACAGTAATTTGGATGATGCTTTTGTGTTAATTGTCATAGAATTAAATCCAAAAGCCTTGATGATACAATGATAGAGTTTATAAGAGTAAAAAAATGATTTTTAAAAAAGATGCAAGCCTGGGCAACATAAAGAGACCCTGTTTTTACAATTTTTCATTTTTTTAATTAACCAGGCATGTGACATGTGCCTGTAGCCCCAGTTACTGGGAGACCTGGGAGATTGAGGTGGGAGAATCGCTTAAGCCTCTCAGGTTGAGGCTGCTGTGATCATGCCGCTGCACTCCATACCGGGCAACAGAGAAAAACCCTGTCTCAAAAGAAAAAAAACCCTGCAGTCACAGCAGCATCGTTGATATGACAGAGCATGAGCATAATTAATACTGCATACAAATATAATCTCAAAATATTGTTAGTGAGTTCACCACTCAATTGTTCAGAAAATGATAGGATATGTTTCTTTTGGATGAAATTCCTGAGAATTTTTAAAAATTGCCCTTAAATAGAAACCTCACTGTATTTTTATCTAGAGAAAACAGTCTATGGGAACCACCTTCTCCCACCCATGTCTTGGCAGTGGGAACTAGTGTCTCAGATCGGGACTATTTACTTATCCCTATGGCAACAAGTGCTTTATCTTGCAGAAATCCTAATATCATAAGAACTCCCTTGTACTTTAGTATGGTACCTCAACCCTGAAACAAAAATCTTGATGTGAAATATAAATGCTTAAATAGAATATGTTTTAAATAAAACATTACTGTCATGCCTGAGAGTCTTATGTAGTCTCTTCACCAGATTTTCATTTTAGAATAAGCCCTCTGCTATTTCCGAGTAAAAGTCACCTTTCAAAGAAGTGATTGAGTTAAAGTGATCCCCTTTTATTTGTAACTGAGAGCATTAAATGGAGTATAGAAATGTCAGGGCTGGGGCTTTTAATAGTGTCACTGGACACATGTAGCAACACTTCATGGAGACACTGCCCAGGTGCATCTTTGCCTGGGTGTAGGGACCATTCCCCTGTTGTTTTTCAGGGTCACAGTAAGAAATTGAAGTTAGTGAAATTGCTAAAAACTTCACCTACACTGAGACCTGGTCACAGGTCTTTCCAGACTTTCTTGATTTCTTAAATCAAGACTTGATTTCTTAAATCAAGCCTTTCCAGACTTTCTTGATTTGTTAAAGCCCACTGGCTAAATTACCAAATGTCTACACATGAAGATTAAGTTATACCCATAAGCTGCTTGGGGGTTCTCAAAAGAAGAAGGCTGTATCAATACCAAGTAGTGATATTATCAGTTTTATGGCAAAATCTGACACTTTTCAAGCCTACAGGGTTACACGCATTTTAATAAAAGTAGTGTTTTACAGAACTTACTCTCATACAACTACATTATATTCTTATTTTTAAGAGAGTGTAGGTGGCAGTACAGATTTTCTGTTTTCTTTTGACGTCTTCCCTCCAATGTTTCAAATGCATTAATACTCAGCGGGTGAAACTGAAATGCTTTTTATTCTTCAGAATCATTCCCTTGTAAGATCTCAAATGATTGTTAAATCAGGGTTGAGTGAGCTGCAACTGGATATGTCTGTCATTCATTGATTTTTTTTAGTAGAGATCTGACATTTCTATGCATGTTAACACCCTCTTTGGGTAATAAAACACTCGGGGCCAACTCTTTCCCTGTTCTCTCTTGAAGACCTGCTGTTCTTTCTCATTTTTCAAGTGCTTCATGAACAAATAAAGTAACTTGACATTGTCGTTAAGAGGAGTGTTTCAATACTCTGGACCCACTGATTGTGTTCTGTATAATTTGCCTCTGCCTTTTGCATTATAAAAGCAACCAGATGAAAGAGCCTTACATCTAAGCAAAGAAGAGTTCCAACAAGTGTAAAGGCTTCCCAGGCTCTAGCTTGCCTCCCAAGTTTCTAAAATAAGTGTTTAAAACCAATGGCATTGTCTAGTGAGACTGCTAGTTGGGGAGGACTGAGTGGAGAAAATAAGTGGATTTTAATCTCCCTGAAGTCAAGAACTTCATCTTATTTACAGTTGTACTCCACGTTGTGATGGGCCTCATCAGTGTCTTACATAGTTATAGGAACCAAAACAGAAAAAAAAAAAAAAATCCATTTCTGAATCATCAAGTGGTCTTTTTCATAATATGAATAGGAGAGGTTTTCCAAATGAAAATTATATTGGTAAGAAATCCTAAATGAAGCACAAAGTATGAGTTTGGGGAATACTGCTTATGCAGTTATGTGTCTATCTTTCTGTGTCTTGATATTTGTGTGTGATATATGAGGTACGACTATAATACAAGGCTTACGAAGCACACATTTTGTACAGTGCATTTGTGTCGTAGTGTGGTTTAACTAAATAAGGTACGCTAAAGAGCTTTGCAAATTGTAAAGTATTATCCAAATAGGACACATTACAATTATAGTTTGTCCCACAACAAATATTTATTGAGCAGTTCCTGATGTCTGTATCAATAAAAGAACAACATTGGTAGGGACCAGGAAGAATACAATGACTTTATCCGTAACTATACAACTACAGAAAACAGAAAACAACATTGATGACTGACCTTAGAAGAAATGTGTATTAAAGACAACGTAACCAGGAGGCATTTTTACCTGTCCAATATACAAGTTGGCTTTGTAATATATTGTCTCTTTTATTCTAAAAGAGTTGCTTTATCATTGTAATTTCAAAACCCAACAGCTCAAAAATTTTCATTAAGAACAAGAATAACAATAAATGGAAGGACTTTTTCTCTCCTTCATTAACAGTATCGCAGTCTGTAGACGCAGTGTTAACGTGGTTACAGAAAGAGAAGAGACCTGAAACTTTCAAGGCAGGTCTCAATAACCGCACACCTGGAATGACTGTTGATTGTGTTTCCATTTATTCTCAGCTTCAGTCATTCAGTCTCGCAGTTGGACAACACCTCTCATTCAAAATAAACCTTCAGTTCTTGATTGTTCCATATCAGGTTGCTGCCATTTCCAGCCGTTTCTTGATCAGAACACATTGCTTTGAGTTTTTGGTCTTTATATCCTTGAAACAAATGCATAAGCACAGGGATGACACGCTTAGGAACACTGTGAAACATCTTACAGAACTTACCAGTGTTATTTCACTCTGTAACAAGTTAAAAACAAATCACAATGACTAATGCTGTCACTGAAGAGCTATGGTTGCCATTTACCTCTATCTGTGGATAAGAAATTTGTTGAGTATTTTGGCTCAAAGATTCACTTCCTCTATCAAATGTGGTTAAAATCTTACATGCAGGATGAAAAGACCAAAGAAAAGCACAATGATTTACTGAGGTTGCTTTCCCTCAGAAAGCAGCCTCGTTAGACTAGTTTGTTGATGGTTCTAAACTATCTCAAGATAAGCAATGGTTTGGAAAAATGTATGCCTCCATGTAATATCTGTGCATTAAAAAAAAAAAAAACTTGCACCTTTTTCTGTGTTAATAAATAGCATAGATATCATGTTTACTAATTTATGGGCTTAGGTGGCTGTGATGGGTCTCCAGACATGCTTAGCTCCTAAGAAATGTTTAATGACATGGCATTTTTGCAGTCTTTGATTTTTCCTTTGGAACCAATGGCCAAGTGAGTACAGAGAGCTAACCTGCCTTATCAGACTTACCATCACTACCCAACTATCTTGAATTAATACCAAATTAACCTATCTTATTCAGTCTAGCTTTAACTAGCTTAAAGGATGTCTCCTTATTTATCAGTGTCTTTAAAACAACCTCAGAACAAAATGTTCCCTGGGGTTCAACTAGGCCACTGGGAGAGAATGCTCAGGTATTCCAGCGTTTTCTCTCCAGTCACTTGCCCAGCAATTCCAATCAAAATATCTTTGAATTGCCTACCTTTATTTCAACTCATCTCTTCAAGCTCTGTCTATTACAACCCAATGAAACAAAATGCAAAACAAAGAACTAACATCCAAAAAAAAAAAAAAAAAAAAAAAAAAAAAACTTCATTGTGCTTTATTTAGCAATAATATCTCTGCCTGTTCTACAGAGATAGGCCCATTGACATAATCAGACTTAACTAGGCTGTCTGCATAGGAAGCTAGAATAAACATGAAATGATACATTAGTATAAATAATTAGTAAAGGCTTTCAGCATTGATTTTTATAGTCAATATCCATTGACAAATAATCTCATTAACTGCCCAATTTGAATGAATTAAGGGAAATATCATTTCACAAATATTTATTTAGGAACTTAGAATAAGAATACTATATTAGGTACTCTAAACAGATTATAAATTTCATAATAGGCACAGTTCCTGAGCTCAGAAATATGCTAATTCAGTTAAAAAGGAGGATCTCCAGTTCCAACAGAGAGCAGAAATAATTGAATGCTGGGGTTTTTCTGTTTTTTTTTTTTTTTTTTTTTTTTTTTTTTTTCTTCAATGAGTTATTGACTTAAGTTCTTATCTTCTCCTAGAGGTAGGTCCCTGTGTACCATACAAAGGCAAAAGAGTCTCAGTGGGGCTGTCTATTCTGTTGTTCGGGGGCTCATAAATAGAAGCCTGAGCAATCTCCTCGCAAATAAAGAGAAAACATTTCTTACAGATCATGGGACATGAGTTTGGAAAGAAGGGGAGGCAATAGAGCTGTCATTTGCCATGACACGAAAGGACAAAATTAAACTCTGTGAGGAGATTTAAAAATTAGGTGAGTTTACCAAGATCATCTCCATGGTTTCTGCCAGGTCATTTAGACCCAATTCTCTATAATGACTTGATCATTTAATCTGTAATAAAAAATATATAATGCATATTATCAAATGTTTTAATATCAACAACACATGAATTCAATGTTCCTGTTATTTAAGACTACTAGAATAATTATTAGAATTATATAAGAGACTCCTGGATGCTATCTCCTATGGTAACTACAATAATTCTGGTTCCAATGCAAGTGATCATATAAGCATGACTATCTGAAACCTGAGCACTTCATTCTGAACAGTGATTACACACCACTATATCTCTGTTCTTCCTACTCCTCTAACATGTTTTCATATTAGATTGAATAGCTAACCTGGAAAGTAAGATGCCCCTTTAGGAAAAAAGAAAATACCCTCTGGTATTTTCTTCCAGAGGGTGCCAAGTGGCAACTAAACAGACTACATGTCTCTGCAAACATGTGATGTTATGATTACTCCAGTATTCTATCATCATCAAATCTCACCAAGCAGGAAAATTAAATCTTACAGAAAACAACAATCCTGATAATGTCATAAGCCCTCCATTTAACACCCAAAGCCAAAGTTCTGAGCTTGCCACATGGGCACTTTGGTTTTCCACCATTCCCTTCCATTACCCTAGGCCTGAGCCAAAGTAAACTCTTCACAGTTGCCAAACAGATTCTGCACCATGTTGCTTCATGGCTATTATTCAAACTCTTCCGTCCACCTGGAATTTCTGCATTCCCTTTTACCATTCATTCACTTAGGAATTCAGTGCATGTGTATTCGTTACTTGATCCATAACTGTCTAAATCCTACTCCTGCTTCAAGACCTAGAAATCTTATTCAAAACGGAAAAAATTACCCCATAAAATCTTTATTTTTCCTTCTGATCAGAAATGGTTTATTCATCCATCCATTCACTCACTTATTCAGATAAATATTATATTAAAAACATACTGTTGGCTAGACGTGGTGGCTCATGACTGTAATCCCAGCACTTTGGGAGGCTGAGGTGGGCGGATCACGAGGTCGAGGTCAGGAGTTGAAGACCAGCCTGGCCAATATGGTAAAACCCCGTCTCTACTAAAAACACAAAAATTTAGCCAGGCGTGGTGGTGCATGTTGGGAGGCTGAGGCAGGAGAATCGTTTGAACCCATGCAGTGGAGGTTGCATTGAGCCGACATCACACCATTGTACTCCAACCTGGGCAATAGAGCAAGACTCCGTCTGGGGGGGTGGAATCTATTGTACTCAGTCCTAGTGATACAAGTGATTGTATTGTATTGCATTGCATTATCTATCCAGATACTTACTGAAACTAGAAATCTAAGGGGCATGCATATAACCACCCTCTCTCAATCTCTTACATTTAATATCAACTCCCAAATTTCTTTATTAAATATATCTAGGATCCATGGAGTTCTTTTTACCTCTGCTGCCACAGTCTTAAGTCATAATCAACCAAGATATCTTAAGAATTTTTCAACAAAATGATAATTCTTCTATATCTATTATTTACACAACAGCATGAATGATCCTCTAAACATGTAAATTTCATCATATTGTGCCTTTGTTGAAAATGCTTCATTGACTTAATCCTAAATAAAGTAAGAAGGTTCTTCTAAGAACTTTACATCTAAAGTGAGACATACAAGATTTATAGATGCTAGCTATTCAAATAACTAGGGAAAAATCAGTGACATCAACAATAAAGTGAAAAAGCAAGCCGCAGAGTTGGAGAAGATATTTATAGCACTGGGCTTATTACAAAATTAAAAATAAAAAGCACAAGTGTCAGCCCCTCCACAGCAAAGAGGTGAAGAATAACAAGTAAAAAGGAACACAGCAAGATCCCAGTTCAAAGGATGGTCAATCTAAACAGGATAGGATGCAGGAAAAACATAATGCCCAGTATTAGAATATAGGACTGGATATCACCAAGGACCAGTGATCCAAGCAGCACCAATCAGTGGACTGAGAAGCTCATTGTTTTAAATGTGTAAAACTTCCATCTAAGAATACTAGCAAATTTAAGAGTGCCACTTCCTTCAGACACTTCAGTGCTTAATCATAGAGTGGAAGAAAATAACTTCAGAGTTTCACTAGCTAGTATGCTACTGGGATAAAATAAAAACTGTTTTCCTAAAAATGAATGCAGGTATTGGAAAATGATATATGTTATTAGAATCAAGGCAGGCAGTATGGAAGACAAGATCGCAATCTCACGTATTACAAAGAAGCTACATTTTAGACCCCCTCATATTAATAGAGAAATGAAATGATGTTTCATTTGCCATTTTTTGCCTTGTCCCTAGCTCCATGCCTGCAATCCTTAATGATTATTTTCAGATACCTTTGCTTTTGAGTTGTCTATAAGAACAAGATAGAGAGATGAGGGTGTTTGTGTAGCCCTGCACAGTTAGGGCTATGGTTATGTAGCCATCAATCTGTGGGGACATCACAGAAAAGAGAAAGATGTGATTAAATGTCATTCAGTCAATCTGGAGGAGAAAGGCCAGACAGCAAAGCACATAGGTTGACATGAGGGAAAATTGAAAGTCAGAAGATGAATCAAATACAGGCTTGAAAGTTTATTTCCATAAATATTCACCTTAGACACCAGAGGCAGGAGAAGCTTACTCTCTACAGAATGCTTAGATTTTTAAGAGAATGAGTCAAGTCAGGAAAGTACTAGCCTTGGAACTATATTAAACTCATACAGTTTTATCAGTAGAGCTATCTATCCCACGCAATCAAAAACTTGGTAAATTACCTACAGTCTCTGGCTGAGGAAATTTAGGAGTAAAACATGCACCGAATGTTGTGTTTTAAAAAGATTAATTGGGTTTCGGTGTTAAGGTTCAGAGGTAAAATTAATCAAAGTCGGAGGGACCAAAAAGGCAATGGCTCTCAGCCCTGGTGGCACACAGAAAAACTGTGAATGTCTTGACCACTTCTCTAAAATTCTGATTTAATTGGTCTCGGAAGAGTGTCTGAACACAGTCCCAGTCCTCCCTTCCTTTCTTTTTCTCCTTCCTTCCTATTCTCTCTCTTTCTGCAGCTATTTGGATGTGAGGTGATAAGGGCCTGAAATAAAATAGTAGCACTCAAAATAGAGAATAAATTAATATAGGGAGACATTGTTAAGGGAAAAAATGAAAGTTACCTTGACTAATAAAACATAGCTGGATTCAGGAAAAAAATCTTTCAATACATAAGTGAAAACTATAGTCTTACAAGGCTAGTGGTCAATTTTTCCATTAGGGAAAAGAGAGACGATGATGGTTAACAGTAAAGTAACCAAAATATTTACTAAACCACAAATTAGTATCAATAACAACAGCAAGCCCCCTCCTACCTCAAATTTCTCACTTGCTGGTTTGAAAAAATCCTTCTGACTCTCCATTGACTCTAAACCCCTTAACCTGTCATATAACCTGTCATATAGAGCCTTTCTTTTTCTTTTTCTTTTTTTTTTTTTTTTTTTTTTTTTTTTTTTTTTTTTTTTTTTTTTTTTTTTTTTTTTTTTTTTTTTTTTTTGATTATATTTTAAGTTCTGGGTTACATGTGCAGAACGTGCAGAGGTTTGTTACATAGGTATACACATGCCATGGTGGTTTGCTGCTCCTGTCAACCCATTATCTACATTAGTTATTTCTCCTAATGCTATCCCTCCCCTAACCCCCCACCCCCTGACAGGTCCCAGTGTATGATGTTCCCCTCCTTGTGTCCATGTGTTCTCATTGTTCAGCTACCACTTATGAGTGAGAACATGTGGTGTTTGGTTTTCTGTTCCTGTGTTAGTTTGCTAAGAATGATGGTTTCCAGCTTCATCAATGTCCCTGCAAAAGACATGAACTCATCTTTTTATGGCTGCATAGTATTCCATGGTGTATATGTGTCATATTTTCTTTATCCAGTCTATCATCGATGGGCTTTTGGGTTGGTTCCAAGTCTTTGCTATCATCACAGTGAATAGGCACCCTAATGGGTAAAAAGTTTTGCAATCTAGCCATCTGACAAAGGGCTAATATCCAGAATCTACAAGGAACTTAAACAAATTTACAAGAAAAAAAGAAACAACCCCATCAAAAAGTGGGCAAAAAATATGAACAGACACTTTTTAAAGGAAGGCATTTATGTGGCCAACAAACATATGAAGAAAAGCTCAACATCACTGCTTATTAGAGCAATGCACATCAAAACCACAGTGAGATACCATCTCACGCCAGTTAGAATGGCGATCATTAAAAAGTCAGGAAACAAAAAATGCTGGAGAGGATGTGGAGAAATAGGAGCGTTTTTACACTGTTGGTGGGAGTGTAAATTAGTTCAACCATTGTGGAAGACAGTGTGGCGATTCCTCAAGTATCTAGAACCAGAAATACGATTTGACCTAGCAATCCCATTACTGGGTATATACCCAGTGGATTATAAATCATTCTACTATGAAGACATGAGCCTTTCTTAATCTTGTATAAGATTTAAGTGTCCAACATTGTTCACATGCTAGAGACACAATATTAAATAAGACTCAGTTCCAGCAACCAAGAAACTCATGGTATAGTTGAGAGTCAATGTAGCATCAATTGTACAGAGAATTAGCAAAATTCAGTTGGAGAATGGAGAAATAATTCGGGGAAGGTTTCACAATGGTTTGTAGTTTGATATTGAAAGACAAGCAGCTCTTCAAAAAGGGAAGAAAATCCAGAAACACACACACACACACACACACACACATATATGTAGTTATTCACAGATACTATGTTGTGTATGAGGTATACTCAAGAGTTCACTAAAATTAAAGAACCAGTTCGGGTTACAGGAGAAAGAATAATAGGAGACATAACTACATGGAACATCAATGAAGATGAAAGTTAATCTTGATTGAGATGGTTTTAGCAGAACAATAAATGTGGAAATTTACTATTGTTGACGATGATGTCATTACAAATTTATACATTAGAAATGTAACTCAAGTAGAAAATGAACTTATAAAGGATTCATTTGGAATGAATAGGAAAATATATTGGAAAGAATGGGAAAATAAACATATATA